TGATTCGCTTATCAATAATCAAGAGCATGCCGCCTCCTTGAGCGTCAGTGCAGACGGAGTCGCCATGGTCGCCGTCGCGCTATTTAGTTTGTCGACTATAATATTTGCTACCACGAGAGATCGGCGATGGAGCGTCGCCACATGGAACCCCCGATATATGTGAGTGCCATCAGTATCATTCCAAGGAAAGATATACGCCTTGCGAAGTTCCGCGGAGGTGGGTACATATAAGAGGACAGTGCAAAATTTTCAGATCGAGCCACAGCTGATGCGGATAGGTCTATCCTACCCAAAGTTGATTGCCGCATGTACAATTGGTGAAATCGACGACTCTTTTGATCTGGTAGAATGTGCCTCGGAAATCATGTTGATCCATACAAAATACAGTGCAACGTCTCCTGAATTTCTAGTGTACAAATTAGCCGACCTTATTCTGGATAAGCTTGTCCCGGTGACAAGCATAGGAGGCAATGTTCTCTTTGTTGATGTCGCGAGGAGACAGAGTGTGAGTTGCGGAGCTATGCTTGGCAATGGCATTACAGGTGACGCCGTTGTATATATTCTGCCCTCGTATGGCCGTCCTCAACAGTACCAGATCGGTAATGGTACACGGTCGGATGTAGGAGGGGATATCTCAGATGGTGGGACTGTGTTGAGGCCTTATAACCTCATTGACCATATGTACAACTGTTGCAATTGTGCTCGTTCAAGCAGGTGAGTAAGATATATTTCTTCATCGCTGATTAGGTTTTTGCAACTAATTAATTTCCTACGTATGCAGAAGTGGAACGTAGAAGTGATATTAATAGAAGTGATGAGATGGCCACATGGGCTAAGGCTTGACCTGCAATGCTTTTACTAGTTCTCACAATGTATGCATGTATCTCTGGCTTGGTACAGAGCTTAACGAACTACTCCCTCCGTCCCATAATATAAGAGCATTCAAGAACACTCTTATATTATGGGACGGGTGGGTAGAGTACTTCTTCAAAGTGTTGTTAACAACCTCATGCCTTGCAAGCACCCTTTTGCAATTTGGGAGCTAATTAATTAACCACATGTTTAGATATGCGTGATGCGTGTAGAAGTCTTTTCCTGTTATGTCTGATAACATAGTTTAGCTGGTTATAAGTTACCTTTTTGACACACTCTTTTCTACATGTGTCATTTTGGCAGGTGTAAATTATCGCGAGAAAGCAGAGGAGCTTGGAGCAATGACAGACTTTCTGTACCTTGTGGCTGGTGTGATTAGTTTATCTTGCCTTGTAATATTTATCCTTATAGTACCTAGCTATTACTTCAGTTATTTTATAAAACATCATGTAATACATGCATTCAATTTACTCCTGTTTTGGGCTTTTGGCAATTGATATATACTATTGAGTATAAATTAGTTTTATTGGTCAAAATTCAAAATAATATCATCAAAGTTCTCATGATCTTTTTTACAACTCTGTAAATTCATGGGTATAATATTTTTATGAAATGATAACCTGCAAACTTCTTCGGAAATATTACTATGTGCCGTGAGCAAAAGTTGGCTAGAGATATTCAACTACTCCAGTATCCTTTGTATTTAGGTTATTTGATAAATTTGTGTCTGTTATCACTTCAAAATGTTCCTCGGACCCATGAATTGTCTCATTTATTTGGGAACACTAATTTATGAATTACCCTCCAAACCATTGTTCAGTTATCAGGGTGATTTTATACCTTTGTAGTTTAAATAAATGACTAAATTTTTTAATTAACACAGATAATGCTACATATTGAAAATCTACAAAAAAAACTCAAGCAAATGCAACCATTTTTCTACTGTACAAAAAATATGATAAAATATATTTACTCTTGACCTTTCCTTTTCTCGTGAAGAAAACCAGTTTCCAAAAAAAGAATTTACATATCATAATTTTTGTACCCTTATGTGCATATATAAATTTTGCTATATTTTTGGAGACTCTGAATATTAAACAACTTTTCAAAACCATGCAAGATTCAAGGTTAAAAGATTTCAGAAAGCCCAGAGTTTAATATTACATGATTTCATAATTATAATTTAGACTACAAATCGGTCCAAGCACTAGTTCTTGCTTATAGGGTGAGAAAAAGAAATGGATGTTTCAGGTGTTTGGCCGAAAGATTCTAGGTTAGACAAACAAATGGGTATTCTTAATACCGTTGATAAGTTCTCGACTAAATTTAGGATACTAGAAAATATCTTGCATGTTGTTGTGGGAATATTTGGCAATATATTTTCAACGAGAGTTGATTGTATCAAACCTGAATATTTGAAGTAATAATATGAGAACTAAAAATAAAAATACATATGGTTTATGGAGTGTAATTCTTGTATAATATGAAAATCATAATAGAAAGAAAAAAAATATCATGCATGTGTTTCATGTTGATGTGGCCTTTTCTTATAAATGGTTGCATGTTGTGATTGGCCTTTTTTCATGTATGTTGAAAGTTGAGGCCGTATGTTTGCATGTTAAGAGAAATAGGTTAATGGGGGCTATGTATTTAGATATAGAACCCCGTTGTTCTTGGGAAGAAAGAGAGAAGGACAGCCCTATAAGGGAGATCCTGTGTTGGAAGATATTGGTGGGTGTCATCTTGTTCAATTCTAGGTCAAATGACAAGATGGTTGTTCAAGCAGATTAAACATGAGTGATAATCCCTCCGTTCCAAAATATAGTGCATCCTCAGTTTCCGCGCTTCAATTTTGATTATAAATTTAACCAACGAGACCGGCTGCGACGGGAGCAAAAATTATACCAGTGAATTCGTATTCAAAAGAAGTTTTCAATTATATAATTTTTCTTCCACCACAGTCGGTCTCGTTGGTTAAATTTAAAAGGCTGGGCGCGCTATATTTTGGAACGGAGGGAGTATCCAACTATTTTCAGTTTCTCTTTTGACAAATCTGTCGGTATATTTCATGCTATGATATCCGAGACAAGTATCTTCCTAAGCCTATTGTATCTCAGCCCACCTCTCATGCATTGATGCATGCCTAGCATATGTCGTAATTGTAGTGAGTGTTATTTGTCCTTCAAAGTTTTATACCAGCAAATATGCCCGTGCGTTGCAAACTGGAGAAAAATTATCAGATTATGCAGGTGTGGTAGATACAATTTATTTTAATCAAATGCAAGGATGAGATAAGGGACTGTTATAATGTCATTTCACAAACTATTTCTGTAATGTTATGATGAGATAAGGAACTATTAAAAAGTCATTTTAAAAACTAAAAATATGGTGGTCACACCACGACTTGATTTCCTAAGGCGCCACAGCGAAGTATATTTTGGCTGGCCAAACTGCATTGATGGACCCTGCATGAGCTAGATGATGAATGATGTGTCTCGTCTTGACCTAGCATAGCGGTGTTTACCATAGCCAATATTGTGGTACCAAGCAAAATAGACATTTAGTCATTTTCATATAGCTTACAAAACCTAACCCATAGGAAGTTGTGTCAATTTTTCTTGGGGCTCGGCGCTGTAGAAAACACATAAATCTTTTTTTACCCGACGCGGGGAACTAAATAAAATCATAAAACGACCTCTACAAATCCCCTAATAAAACCTCTACGTAAGTGATGGTTCGTTTTGTTCATTATTTACGGATTTGTTTTCATTTTTGTTAAGATTTCTAAAATTTCATGGATATTTTTTCAAATTCAAAAATATGTTTTGACTGTTGGATCATTTTTTTAAAATCATGAACATTATTTGTTTCATGGATATTTATTTAAAATTGTGAATTTTTTAATAATATGTGAACAATTTTTTGATCGTGGACATTTTATGATTTCCAAATGTTCTTTGAATTCACAAACAGTTTATGATTTTTCATGTTTTTTAGAGAACTCACAAGTTTTAAAATTTGGTTCCTTTGAAAATCCCAAATTTCATTTAGAGAAGGAAAATAATAACGGAAATGAGAAAGTAAATAAAAAGCATAAAAATAAAAAAGAAAACAGGGGCCAGAGGAGGTGGCATGGTTGGTAATTAGTGCCAACTTCGGGGCAATTCTCATGATGGATGACCAGAATCAATAGCCTGTTTATTATTATTAGGGAAAGATTTGAAATCTAGCTAGCGCATATATGAACCAACCACTCCATCTACCAACGTTTGCACATCGTCAGGTGAAAATCATATACCTATGGTTGATCGATCATCAAATTGGTAAAGCAATTCAATTCTAGGAGCCTTGTATTGTGGATATACTAATACATTTTGATTTTTTTACAAAATAACTTGCTAAATATTCATGACCAAGCATTTATTCGCTTAATATTCAACCAATTTTATCTGCACTTGTATTTGTAGATCCCACATTATGGGTGCCCGAACCCCACCCGAGACCTAGTACTCCCTCTGGTCCTTTTCACTTTGTGTATTAGATTTGTGTCAATTCAAACTTTACAAAATTTGACCAAATATATGTTAAAAATATCAACATATACAATACCATATATATATTTCATGAAACTACGTTTCATGATGAATCTAAAATATTAATTTGGCATTGTGAATGTTGATATTTTTTTCTATAAGTTTGGTCAAAATAGAGATACTTTGACTTTGAATAGAAGTTATGTATCGATGGCCTGTTGCCAATCCTTGTTTCAGCTAGCTGCAAAAAGAAATACTACCTCTGTACATTAGTGTAAAATATTTTTGCAGATCAATTTTAACTGCAAACACTAATGAAAGATGTTTTTGCAGTTTAATTTGAACTGCTAAATCGTCTTACAAACAAAACGAAGACAGCTACACAGTATCACAAACCCAATTGCTGTTGCGTGTTGCCGTAATTGCATCATACCAAACTAGTTCTAAATTCTTTTATAAAGTTCTACCTAAAGAAAGAACTTTTTGAATTCTGAAACAAGAACAAAACAAATCTTTTGTACCACCGCACTGCGCGTTGCAATGCGAAATCTGATGCTCTCTTTATGTACGCCGGCGGGTAAGGAACGATCACGATCACGACACGACCGTCTTCACCTGGTAGTTCCTGGCGAAGGCGCTGTAAACGACGAAGTTGAGCGTGCACAGCGCCGCCATGGTCCAGAAGAAGTAATCGAGGTGCCCCTCGTTGAGGTCGTCCGATATCCACCCGGGCCGGCCGCCGGTGGCCGTCAGCGCGTTCACCACGGCGTAGATCAGCGAGCTTGCGTAGCTGCCCAGCGCCACGGTGAGTAGCGCGAAGGACGTGCACATGCTCTTCATCGACTCCGGCGCCTCGCTGTAGAAGAACTCCAGCTGCGCGATGTAGCAGAACACCTCCGCGCCGGCCAGCACGAAGTACTGCGGCATCTGCCACCCGATGCTGATGGACTCCCCGCTCCCGGCGGCCTCAAGCCTCCTCATCTCCACTAGCGCCGCCACGGCCATCGCGAACGCCATGAGCAGCCGCCCGGCGCCCATCCGCCGCAGCTGCGACGGCTCGCCGCTCGCCGGGGACAGTCTCCTGAGTGCCGGTACGATCACCAAGCCGTAGATGAGCACCCACGCCAGGACGCAGATCACCTCGAATGACACCATGGACGCGGCCGGGATGGTGAACGACATGACCCGCATGTCCATGGCGCTGCCCTGCTGCACGAACGTGGTGTTAAGCTGCGCGTACGCCGCGGACAGCACGATGCTCGTCGCCCAGATCGGCAGCAGCCGCATCAGGATCTTCAGCTCCTCCACCTGCGTCACCGTGCACAGCCTCCACGAGCCCGTGGCCGCCGCCGCGGCGTCGACGTTCGTCACCTCCTCCAGGTCCGAGTCCGCGACCACGGCCGCCTTGTCGAGGAACGTGAACTCTTTGGTGTGCGCGATCCTGGGCTGGTCGATCTTGTCGCTGACCTCGTAGAGGACGGCGGCGTCGGCGGGGACGCGGAGGGTGACCTTCCTGCACGCGGCGACCACGACCTGGCACAGGCTCTTGAACGGGCTGCCGGTCGGCATGCTACGCTTGTACATGGGCGTGAAAAGCACGAAGCCGACGAAGGCGAGCGCGATGCAGGCCGTGGCGATGCCGAAGCCGAGGCCCCAGCTGACGTTCTGCTGGATCCACACGAGGAAGAGCCCGGACACGATCATGCCGAAGTCGACGCAGATGTAGAACCAGCTGAAGAATGCCATCTTCCGCTCCCGGTCCACGGCGTTGTCGTCGTCGAACTGCTCCGCGCCGAACGGCAGCAGCGCCGCCCGCACGCCGCCGCTGCCGAACGCCACGAGGTAGAGGCCGGAGAAGGCGACGGTGTGCGCGCCGAACATCGGGTGGCACGACGAGCCCAGCCCGCACAGCTCGGTGGTCGGCAGTAACGCAGAGAAGGTGATGAGCATCATACCCTGGAGAGGCCAAGCGCAGCAGCCAAGTTAGTTGAGCTCATGCATGGACGAAGAAGCTAGCTGCCACGCCATGTCAAGGGGCAAGTGTTAAGGTCTGGCCGTGCGCTTACCAGAAGGTAGACGACGAGGGAGACGAGGATGGTGGTGTAGTTGCCCCAGAAGGTGTCGGCGAGGATGGCGCCGAGGACGGGCGTGAGGAAGCTGGTGCCGATCCACGTGGTGACGTTGGAGGCGCTGGCGAGGCCGCTGCCGTGCAGGACGCTCTCCAGGTAGAGCACCAGGTTGGTGGCGACGCCGTTGAAGGCCGTGCTCTCGAGGCACTCGAACCCGAGGACCACCGCCGGCGCCCGGCTGCCAGTCTTCTTGCTCTCTATCAGCGGCACCCTGAGGCTTTCTTCGTCGATCTTTGAGCCCCGACTCTGTAAAAATTTGTGCCGCAAGTTCGTTAGACATCTGAAACATGGGGGGTAGTGGGCACGTTTACGACTGATGATCGATCACGATTCGCGAACGGCATGCGTACCTTTGGCAGCCGCGGGGAGCTCTGTCCTCTCTCCATGGCGTCCATTGCTGCACCGATGTTAAGGTAGATAGCTGCTGAAACCCCGATGAAGTGGAGCTCGAGGGAGCGCCTTGTGGCTTTTTTGGCTCGGGTGAGAGCCTTGGAGGTGAGATGGAAGCAAGAGACAGAGCACCGGGGCTTATATATACGCAGGCGTGCACATTAGCCGACGACGCGAGAGAGAACGGGTCCCGGTGAGATACTACGGTCAAACGAAATGAAGCAGTGGGATCGCACGGAGACGAAAAGGGCTCGCGTGCGCGCGGCTCCGGCAAAGGATAAATGAAATGAAATGTGCACATGCGTAATACTAGTCCTGTCCACGCAGAGGCACCATCGATGATCGATCGTGGTGGCAGGCGGCAGCTGTGGTCGTGGTGGTACTAGAATATGACCGCCTGGGCCTGATGAATCTTGTGCTTTTGCCCGCTCACTGTGAGACGACGACGGTGAGATGCACGAAGTTTCCCTGCGGTTGTGTTTGCGTCTGCTCGACTCCAGGGATCGCCAACATGGCAACATGTTCGATGGGACTTTGCGTGCGGTCTGCACTTTTTCCAGGACGTGGAGCCACCGTGGCAACTTCTCCGTGGAACTTTACTGCGCCCAATCCACTTGGCGCCAGCAAGGAAAGATCTGTTTCTGTTACTTTCACTCTCGGATAACTATCCGGCCAACTCACGCAATAAAAAGAAGACAAGTATTCAGTAGGTATCAGGGATTCAGGGGCAGGGGCACAGTACAAACCAGTATATGAAACGCTTCCTTAGCAGAGAGCATAATCCTAACCAGTTGGAACCACAAATTGCTCCAAACCACTATACTTATTATATCTCGCGGGAAACTGAAGAGCAAGCTTACAACGTGATCGGCATCGGTAAGGTGAAATGCACATGCAAATTAAGTTCAGGCTTTCGGTATGTACGCACGGTACAACGAGGATACACACCATCCAGAAGAAATCGCATGGATATGCACCCGTGGACCGTCTCTGTGAATCCATGCACCTAGGAAGGTGGCTACTGACTGTTACATCAGCTGCTAAATCGAGGATAACGTTCAAAGTCCAGTACGACATCAGGACTAAGAGCATCTCCAACAACAGCCCGCAAATTCCCTCCCGTATTCGTCTGTGGGCAGGAAGGTGAGTCCGGCGCCATGTAACTATAGCCACATACATTTTGACTATAAAATTCGGTCAAAACGAGATGGGCTTCACTACATTTACATCAAAACGGTGTTATTGCGGCTCTGAAGGTATAATTAATACCTAATCTAAATGATCGTTCGCACCCATTTCCCGTGTCAAGCCGTGAGCCCCGAGAACTAAAGCTTCACCGTCTTCAGTTCCGTCTAGGCGCTCTCCAGCTCCGCCTTCGGAGGCCCGGGAACTGAAGTTGTCCGCCTCCACATCGCCGCCAAGCAACTAATCAGGCGACGATGTTGAGCCCACCAAGCTTGGTGTCGACGGGGAGAGGAGCGGTGGCCTCCCTGGGACATGAGCGGCGGCGACCTACCGTGCACTACTCTTCCTCGTTGCCGGCGGTGCTCACGGGCGTGCCGGCTTCATGGTCGTCGTGGTGGGGTGCGGACTCGGCGATGTCCTCCTCCTCGTCATTGGTCTCGGAACACCGCCTTGCCCGCGTCATTGCTCTCCTTGTAGGCGGCCGCCACCTCCGCCACCCGCTGGTGGTATCACCAGCAGGCATGGCGGATCTCGCGGGCGGAGCAGTAGGACTCGAGCAACGCCTCCTACTCCGCCAGGTCCGCGTGTGGCGCCACAGCCCTGCCGGCTGTGAGTTGCTCCTCCGCCTGCACGTGCTCCTGCAGCAGGTGGTGGTTGTAGGCGGCGTTGGCCTGCGCCTCTTGGAACTGCTCATCCCGCACCATGTCCATGTAATGGGGATGGATCTCGCCGATGGGCATGGTGCAATGCACCGGCGAGGGAGGCGAGGAGTAGGAGGAGGGAGGCGCGGAGTAGGAGGAGGGTGCTGCTGAAGAGGAGGGTGGCGCCGATTCATCGTCGACAGCGTCCTCCATTGAGACGTCGTCGTCGTCCGGCTGCCTGCTGGCCAGCCTACCGACAGCAATGGCGGCCATCTCCTTCTTCTGATCCGACGTCAGCCCATTCCAGAGAGCTTTGGCAGGGGAGGAATCCATGATGAGAGTGGTGTGGAGAGGGATCGGAGGTGGATGACTGCAGCTATGGTCGGGCATCAGTTTTTATAGCAATGGTTGGCGACAGAGGGACAGATGGGTGGCATCAGAGGAGACGCCACGACAACCGCGTGCCATCAATGTGGGCGGCATACGGATGAACGGGCGGCCTCCGTATCATTTGAACATGCGGCAGTCGCCTGCACAGGGAAGCGGCGCGGGCGGCGCTCTCTCGATCGGCATGCCGCTTCAATGCCGGCGCCAATGAGCAGTCACGTCCGCTCTGGCCGGACATGAATGCTGACACTCTGGAGCGGCGCTAACCAAAAATGAGCGGGAGGGTGAAGGGTTTTAGGGGGGCAGGGCGGTCAGAGAGGGCGTGGGATCGCCCCGGACTTCGGCAAAGCCTCTGCGTTTGTCTTCGGTTTATAGGAGAAATCATGTCCGAACCGTGCCGCTGAATGATACACACCCACGTTATAGGCTTTCACTATACGAACAGCATAAATCAAATGCATGCGGGAGGATTACGGGTTGGTGCTGGAGATGCCCTAAAACAAAGTGCAAGGCTACTTTCTGCGCTTTTTCCATGACAGCGTCTCGCCGTGGCATTTTTTCAATCGAGCTTTACTACGCCGTGCCCAGTCTCCTTTCAGAAACGTGTCAATTTACCTCGGTGTTAGCTATACATCTGTACAGGTTTTGTCTCGTTCGATCACTCTCAGCCTCCGGAGAACATTCAGTTCACTCTTCCAATCCAACGGAGGATCGTTGCAAGGGCATCTCCAACATGACCCTCAAATTGACCACAACCATCTGAACCACTCGATCTGAACGTGTGCCATCCAACGTGGTACTATGTTCATTCGCTCAGAAGTCCGGGCGTGTTTTTTCGTCTAAACCGAAGACAAACGGGGGAAGGGAAATTGCGGGCGTCCCACCACATTCGCGTCCGACTAACCTGACCCATCAAATAATCCTACCCTCCTCTTCGGCGCTTTCCGTCCGATGTACGCGCCGTTTCTTGCGCCGCATCAATGCCAGCCCAGAGAATGCAGCGGCCATCATTGATACCGCGTGATGTGACTAGACGGGAGGGCCGCGTTGACCGACACGACCTTTAGGGAGCCACCGTTTCAATGCGGACACAGCTTCCCGAAGAACTAACTCCGGTCATTGGGCCACATTGAAGCGGTTGACCGTCTGTTCGCATGGCCTGGCTGTGGTCATATAAGTCGTGCTCCGGCGCCGTCCACATCGCAGTCATCGCATCTCTCCGCACGTCCTCGCCCTCACCCCTTTCCTCCTATACAACTCCGGCGATGGGCAAGTCATGGGCCTCGGCGCCGGCACGCGCGCGGCTTCGGAACGGGCTCCGGAGGTTCGTGGCGACGCCGCCCTCAAACTTTGGGTCGTCATCTCCTTTAGCGACGAGGAGGACCTGCTGCCGCCGCAGTAGCCAGCGACATAGGGCACGGTCTACGTCGTGACTGACGAGGAGTACGAGCAGCAGATGCAGGTCATGCTCCATCGCTCCATCCTCCACATCAATGGCTCGACGGCGCCACCGGAGACGGTCCACCGCATCAAGTCGGAGTGCACGTCCCCTCTCCGCTCTCCCCACGCAACTGCGGCGTCCAAATCAAACGTCGCGTCAAGGAGGAGCCCCTCTTGCCGCCTCCCCGACGCGTCAAGGAGGAACGTCTCTCGCCGCCAGCCTGGGCATGAAGGAGGACCGGCGCTTGCCGCCACCCCTACCCCATGCGATAGCCGCGAAGGTGTGCGGTCGCCTTCGCCACTACGCGGCGACAGAAATAGTTCGTCCTCTCAGTGCCCTAACAGCGTCGGAGTGATGTCTACTACATAACTTTATTTTTATAGACTCTGTTGGGCCTTCAAACGTAGAGATTTGTAGGACAACAACATTTTTCTTTAAGTGAATAAGATTTATCTATCTGTGCACGCAGAAGCACCATCGATCGTGGTAGCAGGCGGCAGCTGTGGGCATAGTCTCTACTCCTAATGTCTCAGTTGGTAGGTCGCGTTCCGGGTTTTATTTTCGTCCCACCTCACCCGGTCTTTTTTGGTACTTCTTTGGTACTTCCTCCCACCTCCCACCCGTTTTATTTCACTGATTTTTTTTCGTCCTTCCCCACCCCACCGGTTTAGTTTCGCGTCACCCTCTCACACAACGAAAAAATCTTAATCTCTACTCCTAATGTCTCAGTTGGTAGGTCGCGTTCCGGGTTTTATTTTCGTCCCACCTCACCCGGTCTTTTTTGGTACTTCTTTGGTACTTCCTCCCACCTCCCATCCGTTTTATTTCGCTGGTTTTTTTTCGTCCTTCCCCCACCCCACCGGTTTAGTTTCGCGTCACCCTCTCACACAACGAAAAAAATCTTAACGAATCATAACTTTCCATACTGGTGCAAGTTATTTTTAGTAATGTCTTTATGTGAAAGAATCAATCACGATCAATCTCTAAATATCAAATCTAAATTAATTAACCTTACCTTAAATTGCTCAATCACATTAATTAGGAAACAAAATAACCGATTTTAAGAAAATATCTACTTTTAATGGAGGGTATTACATACCAAACATAGGTACGTCATTAGCTCGCTTCCTTCCCTTCTCTTCCCTTCGTCCCTCAGTCCCATGCTCGTGGCGCTGAAGTGGCATCGACAGGCGATGGCAGCGAGGACAGCACGTGGCAGCCCCTAAAGCACGAACACGACTGCACCTCGGGTCTGCCATCTCCCAAGATATGGGTGAGTTCTCGTGATGCCCACCCTAAACCCTCACGTCCTACAAATTCCTCAACCTCTACCATCTCGATTTCGTCCATG